CTAGGATAGTGTGAAGGAAGATACCTCAGGTTTATATATTTTTGGTAGGCAATAAATCTGTGGAATCTTGCTGCCAATAAACTTCAAATTTTCAAATAAGATTATTGAAATGTATCCATCAGCTTTCAGTTTCTTCAGTGAGATGAATCGGTCCTTTTCTGCTTTTTCGGTTGGGTCTTTCGTTGACTGCAGTTTCTCAAGTTTGCCTTGTCTTACAATTTTAAATTCATTTCCTGTATATAATTAACTCTATACATACTTACCATTCCAATTCCTTTATCAAGCCTTGTGGTGATGTTATGATCCTTTCTGAGTCTTTTGAGAGACTCATGACATTCTCTAGTCACTATATGCCTCTTGACTTATTTTTGCTGTTCTTAATCTTTCCAGCTTTACACTAGATGATGCAACTAAATCAGCTTAGTGTATAAATAGCTACTCAAACTGTACATCTATCTATATAATATTTCGTTAATTTGCTTGCGAATGTCGTAACATTTAGTCCCAAGGGATACAACCTACATTTGTAATTTATCGAGTATAATACCAGAATAATTAAGAACGTTCTTCTCTGCATTTTCCAGAAGTTTGTATTGGGGAACTTGACTGTACAAGCACCTCAGTAGTAAGATTTATTTCTTAGTGGATTAGGATTGCTCAATTTAATGTAGGTGTTTAGTAAATTTCAGTCTCAAATCTTCCTGTATATCCAGAAGTGCATAATTCCTTTATGATACGTTTAACTCCAATCTGACAGTGTAATCAGAAGACGAAGTTTATCTGAACAAACTGTGTGATGTATTTAGGCAATATATTTCGAACAATCTGATCATACATTTACTTGTCAAGTCAATATATATTAAACTGAGGACTGGGAGGGGGACAAATACAAAAATTAGCCCAATAGGGGATTAAAATTAAGAAAGGTGAGGACAAACAGGTTCCCCTTTACTAGAGATATGTTGATAACATCATGGTGATTTGTGAGAGACATAAGGATATGGCTTGTCTACTAAAAGCCACCTAACACTGTAAAAACTCACATTGGTCTGACTTGTGAGAAAAATAATAATAGTCATCTGTCATTCCTAGATATACTCCTCAGTCGATGAGAAGATGGTTCAGTAAGACGGTCAGTTTACTGAAAGCCTACATGGACAAAACAATACCTGAATTTTCACAGTTTTTGTCTAATCCAATACAAGCGAGGTCCAATAAAATGCCTGTTTAATGGGATCTATCGCATCAGTACACCAGGTACGATACATGAGGATGTCAAATTACTAACCGAAATACTTATGGAAAACGGATATCCATCCAATGAAGTTTATAAATCGTTGTAGAGATCAAGTGGCATAGAAGCCAACTGTGTACATGAATCGTAAGAAAAGCGTCCATATCACTCTACCATACAGAGGAGAGTTGAACAGTATCATTTTGAAGCTCGGGTTGATATCAGCCGTTAGGAAAACATGTTATGTGGCCAATCTTATCATTATGGGAAAAACAAAACACATCCTTCAACAAAAACCTAAACACTGCACCCATGATTACGTCACATCCCATTGTGTTTACCAATTTGCATGTGTGTGTGTGTGGTCACACATACATAGGGAGGAGTAATCGAGTCATGCAGTTGAGGGGAGGAGAACATGTACCTAAATGGCTACAGCAACAAGTGGAGTGTGAAACTTTGATAAGCGCAGATGGGAGGCAATCCTCTTCATCTATCGCTAAACATTATATAGAAATGGATCACAAGATTAATGTTCAAACAGCTTTCAAAGTTTTATGTAGAAACAGTCAGTCAGGGATGTAGTCTCAGATTTACGGAAGCCATAGTCATCCACAAATTGAAACCAATTTTATGTGTACAAAAACAGTTTTAGCTTACACTACACCTACTCCTTGGTAAACTTTTTTTTCACCAAGATTAGTATGAACTAGGTCACTCTTCTTCCTGCTTGTTCTCATTTCTCTTAATTTTAATCCCTTATTGTGTTAATTGTTGTATTTGTCCCCCTCCCAGTCCTCGGTTTAATATATATTGACTTGACAAGTAAATGTGTGATCAGATTGTTTGAAATGTATTGCCTAAATACATCACACAGTTTGTTCAGATAAACTTTGTTGTCTAATTACGCTATAGAAATCCATAAAAGGGACTACCTGTTTCAAATTCTAGTCCGGTTACATGTGACTGGATTGATTCAAAGTGGTTGAGTGCACACCGATTTAAAGATTACACAATGGTTAGGATGATATTCCTTCCTAGAGACTTTCAGTAAATTTTCGGATGTTGATTCTTCTGAATACAATCTGTGATAAACTGCACATACATTCTAGATTTAGCGAGCCTTAGACTGGACTTCAGGAACTCATTGAGTATCTTCAACGCAATGGAATGCTCAGGAGAATTGTAAGATTTCAAACAACTTAAAATTCCCTTAATGTTTATCAAAAGTAACAATCTGAACCAAGAGTATTCTTTTCAACAAATTCTCTTCAGGTCCCACAGTTATAAAATACCTTTCTACAGCATAAAAACAAACATTTTGGAGGCATCTAAGGGTGCCTCTTTATTTCTTTTTTGTCATCGGTACTTCTACGTAAGTAAAGTACCAGTTAGAGAGGTACTCACTCACTCTAGTGCATGTAAAACTGGCCATGGTTTAGTTAACATCGAAATAAATATCCTTTTCGAATATCTCGCTGTCTTGTAATAAGGAATAACAGGATTGTAGACAAACATTTCAGCCGGAAAAATTACTCAGTATATCAACTAGTATCACTGTATGATACATATTTGATAAAAGAACTTAAATGGAACTATACTTTGTACTGTGCCAGAATCCTAACGTTTTATTTCAGGCGACCTGACACAGAAATCAATCTAGAACACACAAAACACAGACTATGTAAGTTTACCTTGTGTTACATTGGTTAGCTGCTTCTTCTTTCCAAAATTCTAACAACACAACTTCTTAAACACAACTCAGGTCCAATAAGTACCAGTTTTCACTATCACTTTTAAGATAATTCAACTACTAGACAGCTATCTTGTTCATTTTTCACGAAGCTGATTAGTGGTGTATGTAAACATGCTCTTTTTAAAAAAGTGAACATTTTCAAACCACATGAATACGCAAAATGGGTTCTTCTACAAGTGACACTATCCATAATAATGAATATGAAGGTTTTTTCATCGCATCTTTTGTTACTTTCCACAGAACATGCACTAGAATTTGTTTGAATGGTTGTTTAAATAACCTATTAGATTAAATATATACTGAAACTTTCTGTGTTGTTAGCGCTAGCCCAACTAGCATGAATTCGTAGGCTTTTCTGAAGCAAACTAACCTTGGAAATCGAAATCTATACTATGTCGCAACGGACACTGTGCTTCATGATGAGCCATACTCAAATACTGAAGAAAGGAAGTTAACTTATATTGAAAAGTTAACAGCAGATATGAAATAAAATTAATTTGTAAAGTGACAGTACAAGTCTTGACAGTATTTATATAACATTTAAGCGCTGAAAGCTATTTTCAAGTATACAGGACCAACTAGACTTTATTGGCGGCCTGCTTAAACTTTGGACTACTAAAAATGTTCCACCGAATATATTTAATCTAACCCTAACCCTTTCAGTCTGCTTTACTCGTTAAAATATGTCTCCTAAGCGTATCGTGCACTATAACGCGTTTTTAAAATGCTTTCAAATTGTCATTTCTCAGTATAACAATGAAAAAAAGAAGAAACGTTACGCCGGATGGAAGTGGACTTAAAAATGCTAAAGAATATAGCACATTACTGTTCCAAGGATACCTACGTCGAACTGCAGATGTTTGTGCTGGCTAAATGAACTAATACCATCGAAATTATACTCGATTATGTATTGACTCCCCAGTTCAGACCAGATGCTTATTTACCGCCCGCCAGCTGCCAGTTTCATCATATTGGTGCCTTCAATACTATTATTACTAAGACTATTCTAATGCAATAATTATCTTGTTGAAAAATATTGTACAAAGTTTTTGAAGTTCCATAATGTACTACGGATGTTGTTTGAACTAAAGCCATTATTATTATTATGGACGAAGGTACACGCGGAAAGTGTACATGCCGCACCTAATTTTCGTATATGCTTTTTAGCTACTTATGAGTAGTATAAAAATATAACTTTATATTAAGGTGCGCAGACATCAAGGGTTATGAAATGATTTACAATTCTTAAAAAGATATCCACTTTAAAATGATTTTTACCATTGCATACTATCTACCTGAAACTAGAAAATTGTATTTAAAACGCACTTTTTTATTAGAATAGATCATAGTGAATATATTTTCAAATAAAACAGGTGGATTCGAATAGTAATACTTGTAGGACTGTTTTCGTATGTCTTTTATCATATGAAGAATGTAAATAATTAAATGTGATTGAATGAATGAATCAGTGTAATCAGAATATACACATGTTGTAATTTGTTTATTAGGAAGTGAACATTTACAATAAGAAGTGAAACGAATAAGAAGGAAGTTGAATATAAAAGACCCAATGAATGAAATCTCCTTACAGTTTTGCTTTTTTATTCTTCCTTCATTCTATCCATACTGGGTTGGCTAATTATCATTTCTGTGGTTAGTATTGTCAACACAGTTATTATTATTAGCACTGATGATTTATGCACATTTCTTTGACCCAATAAAAGATGAGGTAATTAGTAAGGTGTTTCAATAGTTTATTGCTCAGGTTACTTTGCATTTTAGTTTCAGTATTACTTATTACATAAGTGTGTAAATACTATTAACTGTTTATTTCGATGCTTGATAACAGTATGAGTAGTGGAACTGGAAGAATGCAACAGATATCAAGGGATTCACAGAAGTAGAAGATTAAGTATATCGCGGTAAAAACAAACGACAAGTGATTTCTAAACAAATAAAAACATACATTTGTAAATTTCACCTATATATATATATATATATATATATATATATATATATATTAATTACATGTAGATATAACAACTGTTTTACGACAAGTTTTACAGACAACTTTGCAACACCATTGAAATTTACAGTCACATCTTTCTTGTTGTACAAAAGTTTGTCGTTTAAAACCTCGACCACAGCATAAATAATGACAACTATTTAATCCTTGTGAATTTTCATCACATTGACGTCCATATGTACCGATACTACCATATCGTGGATCATGATGACAAAATGTCGGTGATTCACTAATATAAATTAAATCATTTTCTGTTGGTGATGTCAAAGACGATGATGTAGAACTAATCAATGAATCCAATGGATTCCTATTCATTCCATAGGCTGTCGATCCTCCAGATGACGATGATGACGATCCTGATGTTGATGGTGATATCAATGATGTAGCAGATAGTAATAATAGATTTCCATTCGGTTCTTTACCTAGTTCTTCTAAAGCTTTCATTGAAACTAACCGATTATGTAAATAGGTAACTTGTATTGCTTCATGAAATCTTTCCTGTAAGTGAGCGCCTAAATTTCGAAACTTCGGTAATGATCTCCAACATGTACGCATTTCACATGATCCACTTACACCATGACATTTGCATTGAACTTCCATTTTATTGATTACCATCTGGATTGAAGAAGGAAAAGAAAAGAAAATTGTCATTAATTATGCTGAAGTCATGAATATTACTATGAAACTTGAGCACTACGATAGAATGTAATTCCACATCAGATATATATATATATATATATATACGGAGATATTGTGAGCTCTTTTTCTTTACTGAGTTTTCTTAATTAAATGCTGATAAGGTGTAGACAGAGACAGAGACAGAAGTGGTCACATCTAAGTGATCACATAACTTACGACAACACCTCGTATTAATTATTTTAGTGGTAATAGGATCCTTTACACTCCAGTAGAGATGTAACGTCATTCCTGTGATATGTGTTGCACGTCAATTCGAAGAACAAAGATTCTTAAATCGATCAACAATTTCCGGTCATAATTTGTCCCGCGCGTTCCTAGTGCAACATAAGGATTCAATAGCATGTCTCCACTCCACTCTCTTATATCCACTCTTCTCAACCTCACTCCACAACTACCCACAACCTCTCATTTATTCCTCACACCATCTCCTCCATATCACCATCAACTCCGACACCCAACTCGTCATTTCCCATCTGAGTTCCACTCAGCCGACTCGCCTGACGCATGATGTCCCTAATCGGTCTTCTCAGTGTATGTCCAGTCAAATCCAATCCATCTCCACTTCCTCCCACTGCATATTTGTTGGGTAATAGGTTGTTGGTTGGTTCGATATCGGGTCGGAGTGAGTTCCTTGTTGCTTATTCTCATTATTCTGGCAATCCATCTGAGCTTCAGTAACGAACCAGTGTGGGCAGCTGTTGATGTGATGTATGTCTGCAGTTGTTTCTTCGAAATGCCTTTCGTAACGCGCTGTCAAGTCTCTCAAGCATCACACAGAAGCACTGACTCACTTGACTCATTACTGTTGGAAATCCGGATGTTGTTCACGCTTTATGCTGAGTGGAATGGAGTGGAATGGAATGGAGTGGAGTGTAGCAGATCTCCACACTGGTTTCAGGTTGATCAAGGAAGGCCTGTCTTGCTGTCTTCCCGATCCTGGCTGCTTCGACGTCCTCGTGTGTGCCACCACCACCACCTGTAGTTGAAACGATGCTGCCTTCGCTAGATAAGCTACTCCCTTCAAGTTTCTCCCATTGATGTTGATTCCAGCTTGTTGTTATTGTTTTAGTTGGTGTTGTTGTCGGTGTTGGTTGTGTATCTTCATCACCTGTGTCTTCTCTACGTTCACTCGAAGTGCCATCTTCCTCCTCTGCCCTACCTGTTCTGTCAACTTGTTGGATTTTGCCTGTAGATCTCCTAGTTTGTGCGACGAGACATTAGACATAAATCATGATCAGTGATATCCAAATCTTCTAGGGTGTTTCCATTGTTTTAGCCGGCGTATCCCTGTTTTCTCGCTCCCCACTGTTTGCTGCATGATCCAGTCCACCACCTCCATTCAATTAGTCACCATCACGAAAACCGTGTAGTTGCCTAATCCTTAGTATTCAGCGTTGATTGAAATCTAACTATAAACATTTTGATATGGTCACCAAATTAAACAGCTCAACACTATGTTGTATATGGTAAAAGACTGATTACAATGGATTCCAATTTGTTGAATATCTTGATGATACATCCATTTACATTATTTTTTCTATGAGAAACGTATAACATTTCAGCCGTTTTTTAGCATATAGTTTGTTTGTTTTTGAATGGATGAATATGATTGTAGCGATTTGAAATTGTGTTTACAGCAAAACTACGTTTATTTTCTTCATTTTTACTGTCTTCTTACCTTCCTTTTGAGAAGTTTAATTTGATGGGAAGACTATATTTCTATGCTTCTTTGGTTAGCTTCAATGATTATCACACTTTACCTACAATTAATTTTGTACATGATACGAACAGTGTGGGTATGTTACCCAAAATTATCTCATCATAGTTCACTATCTTACACATTTAGATTAATGATCATCGATCCATATAAGTCACCTTAGTGTACACCGTTACACATAAATTCTAATTTTCTGGTATATACAAAGTAATTCACTCTTGAAATTAATTGTATCGGTTTGGGGTATAACTAAGTTGATTATAGACAACTACACAAGGTGAACATGCATATCTCAAGTCATTATACGTCAACCAGTGAAGTTAATTTCGTATGAGAATGTCTTACAAGTGAATACCTTTCATGTTACATATGATCACACACACGCACACAGAGTGGAAACCCATCTAGTAACTATGTAGCTACGGTAATAAGAGATTTAAAACAGGAGAAAAGAAGAAAATTTTTGACGCCTTATTTTATAATAATTTACATAGAAGTGTTGAAAAACACATTCTAATGAAGTGTAATTTTCTGATAGTGTTTATCTCTCTCAACAATAATCCTCCAGTGTATACATGAACCTTTAGTAAATAACCGAACAAACACACCAGGAAGTTGGCGTATCCGATTAATTATAATTCTTATCCCCCTCCCATTCGGCAGTATGCCAAACAGAATATTTCCCACATTCATCATCACAACTATCTCGTTCTATTTCTGTGTCTGCTTCCTGGACTACTATCAACATACGAAGGCAGCTTACTGTACCACTACCACTACTACTACTACTACTAACAATAATAATAATAATAATGATTAATAGTATTTTACTACCACAGGTGTATGCTTTCCAGTGATCAAGTTAGCACTATTTCCGATTGTATCTCAGTCAATTCAACCCTTGGTCGATGCACACACACACATGTGCACATAAGCCAAGTATTTTACACCAGTTACATCATGAAATAAATCGACATGTTCACATTTCATGATCATTAATCATTTTCCGAGTTGATATAATTTCCCTTCAAGTTGATCTTTAGCTAGGTGTATTCTACTGTAAGAAGAATGATGATAGGTGTTCTGGATTACTATTACCACACTTCATATTATACCCGTCTCCTGTTAGACGGTATACATGCACGCATGCATGTAATGTGTACCATAATAAAACAAACAAATATGATGGCTAATAAGGATTATAAAACAAGTAGGTAGAGGTAAAAAAAATAATAAGAGGGGAGATGCATAGGCGAAAGAAAAACACTGAAGACTCTCCAAAGAAATATAAAAATACCAAAATCCTGAACATATTGAAAAGTTCTTTTCCTTAAGATTATAATTTACAGACAGAAATTTCCCCCCTGCTTTATGTTTTTACAAAACAAGAGCTAATGGTATAAGAAAGAAAGAATGCCAATAGGGGGAACAGAATAAGCAAAGTACTAAGGAATAAAGAAGGGATTGTATGATAACCGAATGAAGAGGTAACAGACAAGAGTTAAACTGTTGTTCTCATTAAATTCATTAGAAGGGAATATAACCTATTTGATTCAAGCTTTACGTAATAATAATAGTAGTGGTATGTATAAGAGGTCACCACCATAAAGATAGAAAACTGTATGAAATGTCATAAGATGCATAGAACTTGAAAACAATTCATATTGATATGATGGCAAGTGAAAACAATAAAACTGATGTATAGGTGTGGTTTTTCTCTATACAAAATGTCAGTTAGGTGAATAAATTCTGCATCAATGAGATAATGCATATTTCAAACAAGGATAAGGTGTTTAGGTAGTGAGAGTAGAAGAAATTATTCATGGCACAACAGTTAAAGCAAGTGAAAAACACTGATTACTGTTTTGTAATCGGTAAATACTGAAGTCAATTCAATAATCATCATATTAAAATCAAGAATAACTCAGTTAATAAGTTAAACGGCTAAGATAAAAGTGATTGGACAAATTTAGTATTTGTAGGCAAATAATGACTGACAGCTTAACAATCTAACCATACAATGCTCACTAGTGAGTTACTTGAAGATAGATCTCCTCATGTTCTAATAAGAATCCCTAATATATGGGGTTAATCCAGTCAGATATGAAGACAAATACGCACTAGTCTTATAGAATGATGGTTATTTTGCATCGTGTACTGGCGGAATAAAAAAAAGGTGAACCACTGGACACCAGTTCATTCGCTGATGGTCCTGAGGTTACTCTTTTAAAAGTCATGCGTGTCCACTGCTGACTAATCTCATAATGAAGTGGAATACATGTCTTATTATTATTATTTACCCCTTGAGTTCCTAGTGCAACATAGGGATTCAGTAGCATGTCTCCACTCCACTCTCTTATATCCACTCTTCTCAACCTCACTCCACAACTACCCACAACCTCTCATTTATTCCTCACACCATCTCCTCCATGTCACCATCAACTCCGACACCCAACTCGTCATTTCCAATCTGAGTTCCACTCAGCCGACTCGCCTGATGCAGGATGTCCCCGATCGGTCTTCTCAGTGTATGTCCAGTCAAATCCAATCCATCTCCACTTCCTCCCACTACATATTTGTTGGGCAATAGGTTGTTGGTTGGTTCGTTACCAGGTGGGAATGAGTTCCTTGTTGCTTATTCTCATTATTCTGGCAATCCATCTGATCTTGAGTATAGAGTGGGCGTAGGTGGAAGCTGTTGATGATGTATGTCTGTAGTTTGTTGGAAAAACACAAGTCTGGTTCTTCTTTATTTCAACTCCTTCATCAATTGTTTTCAGCTCATGGCAAAAAACTTACAAATCACTGTAACTTAATTCCATCTCTGAATCTACGCAGTCAGAGTTTTGAAGATACAACCAATCCAATTATTAAACTGGACCATCTCACCCCTAGTTTAAGGCAGTACTACCTAAGGCTAATGATGAGGCAGGATGATCATTTCCTAATATACGTCGCTGTTGTTAATCAGGAATTCGAAGGTTACCAACCTAATTCCCTAAATGATAACTAATTCGCAGCTAATGTCATTATGTTTAGATTCAAGTCGCCGACTGTCACTGAAATAAAAATACGACTACTCAACTCACTGGAATCACGTACTTATTTGAGGTCAAATGATAATGTGAACCTATAGAAGGCCAATAGTCTGATTTAACTGAGAAACGAAATAGCCTCTCAAGTGCAATCATCATACGAA